GGAGAATTTTGGTGCAGAGAAATGCTTCAAATCTGTGGAGAATGAGTATTCTTCTTTTGCAGTTCCTAAAATTCCTACTTTATTTGTTGAAACTACGAATTTGAAACTGTTAATGAAATTTGCGGAGAATGTTTTCATTTGTTGTTCATATGCTACCCACGCTTGGAAAGTATACATTTTTCTGCTTCACAAAACATTTGGATCTATTGATTCTTGTAATTGTTTGTTTCCTTGATGAACTTTCTCGCAATATGGCTCATAATGGTGCTTCATTTTGTTGCTTGAGATGTAAAAAAAATTATTGCATTTTTTGTCATCTTGATCAATATGATCCGATTGGATGAAACTTTATTCAACGTGCCGATAACCTGCCTAAAGTATTACTCAATTTTGATAGTTTGAGTTACCTCAACAAGGGCCATTTCTTACTTGTGTTTTATCACTACATTGAATATATAGAGAGTTTGAATTCGATTGTTTAGCATATATTATGGTTTTATCCCCAATTTTGTAGGCATAGAGCTATTAAATGCCTGCAAAAACCCAAATAAACCCAATAAGCTATACATATTATAACAAGCTAGCTGATCTCTGTATCTGGATATCTACTCAAAGATAGGCAGCCTCCTGTAAGGGTTAACTGAAGTTTGTGTAGCAGCTTGGAAGGCTAATGAGATTTGTTGTTTGAAACCGTTGCTCCCAAATTTTAGTTATTGAGTATATTGTATTAGCTTTTCAATGTTATATGTTGGTTAGTTATGCTAATAAATCAAAATGATTGCAGCTTGGATGGCCCTCCTTATGGGCAACCAGTGTTATGTGATATGAATGGTAGTATTTTTTTTTTAAGAGAATGGTTGTGGCTTCATATATTCTTATGTTGAGGCTTTCGAATTTCAGTTAAAAGTTAAAATGATGGCATGTTATACGTGATAAGAAAGACTTTGGTGGTATCAACGTAAACAAAAAGGTCTGTCTTAGATATGCAAATACATAGGAATTGGGTGGTATGTATGCAAATGCACCACTTTATTTTCATCTACTAATTCAGTGGCTTAATATCATTACAGGTGCGTCACAAATACTAATAGTGCTACTTTCTTTGGAAAATTTACATGCTTTTAGTATTCTTCTTTTAGCCTCATATAGACGCCTTCTCTCTTTAACAACCTAATTTTTTCTATATGAATTTTGGGTTCCGGTAGCAATTCTCCATTGTTGTGGTAGCATTGAGGGGTCTCTATGGGGGACAAAATTTTTCCAAACAGATAGCCAATCATGCTTGAAGATTCTTCATTCCTGGTTTTGATAGAAAAAATAATAATTAGTTGGGAATAAAAAAAACACTAAAAATTTACCAAAATCATATTGATGGGATTATATCCACCTCATAAATGAGTGCCTTCTCATCTTTTGTCAAAGGGGAGGATTTCATGCGCCTGACTGCCTTCAAAAGTGCAACAGAGATAAATCACACAGTGAAAGAAAATTTTAAATTTGTAACAAAAGCATAAAAAAATGAAAGAAAAAACATTTTTAAGCTATTTGGGGATTTGAATTCAGATGATTAATGAAGCTGGAAATTCAATTTATAGGCAGCTTGGATGACCCATGTCTATTAGGGCAACCATTGCTAATAAGTATATTTTCTTTATTTCATTTATTTTTTGTTGATTTATTGTCTTTTTAAAAAGTGCAGGACTATGAGTTACACATATTCAAGGAAGTTCGACCAAGTGATGTGCTGGTGCGGGCTACCGTTATTGCCACTCATGTTACGCCAACCACATAGCTACGAGAGACAATTTTACATTTGCCCGCCGTGGGCACAAGGACAAGATGACTGCACTTTTCTTAAGTGTGCCGACAGTATGTCGGTTTCTATGACATCTCAATTGGACACCGCTGCTCGGAGTTTCTCAGTATCACGATTTCAGAATACAGCTTCTGGTTTGAGTGCTTCATTTGTACAGTATCCAAATCAGACCGGTTTGCTCAGGGTTCTGAGTGTCAGAGCCGGACAATATGGGATATGATATGCTGCTACATTTTAAAGCCAACATTATATTTTTTTTTTCTAATTATTTTAACATGTTATTTTTTCTTCATTTTTGGGTCTCATTATAGTACATATTAGTGTGTTAAAATGTATTTCATTTTCTTTTAGGTGATTGTACTTCTGTGACGTGATCTGAAATATTTAAGTGATAAATATTTGTATTTTCATCTCTTAATAATTGAACTTTAATTTTAAAAATATTTTATATTTTCATGTTCTACAATCTTCACATTTATCTTCACTTTATGATTATATTAAGAAGTTTTGTAAGCTTGTAAAAAAATATGTAAATCTGTTGTTTACAAAACGCACAAACAAAAAATCTGCAGTTTATTTAAATATGGGCAGTTTGGTCATTTATTTAAAATTAATTGTTCACAAAACACACAAATTAAATAAAAAAGACAGCTTATCGGAATCAACTGTTTATCCCGTTAATCTGAAAGCTCGAATTCTTCCCTCCAAGTTGATTAGGGATCTCATTTTTCTCTGTCCTTGACTCCTCCGAAACCAATTTCTCCACTAATGATCCTAGTAACTGCTCCGAGCGGATCCGTGCTTTTCAGAACTACACTGAATACTCATCGTAGATGCCACCGTTGTTCTTCGCGCAGAAAGTCATTCGGTCTTCGGATTTTTGGTTTTGTGTCCAAAAGTTTAATGCATCGGATGTCAGAGATTCATGCTCTAAAGGCGTCGTTGATCACCAATCCCGATGATTTCGCCGTGGGAAAATACGTTGGAGAGTACGGGTTCATGAACGTTACCAGGTTTGCTATTTTGTCTTCTTTCCTTTTCTCATTCGCCCATTTTCTTGCATTTTGAACTGATTTATCTCATTAAGTTGCAGATTTTGAGAAATTGGCTGGATGCTTCATTTGTTACTTGCTGTTCACTTCTGTTTTTTCAAGTATTAAAAGTAACATTGAAATGCTGCAGTTATTCATCTTTTCAACCTGGAGGGCCTTCTGATGCTAGAAACATTGAAGTACCAGGTGTTGGATATTCTTCGGAAGACATTGAGCGTTTAAGAATCCAAGATGTTGGAGAAGGCAAAGTGAAAATTAGGTGCTTTTTCTCTTCCTGCATTGCAATAATCGTTATATGTTTACTCTTTCATCATGGTGCTTCTACATTCCCCAAAAAACAATTTTGTAATACTGCATTTGGGGCCCAATTCCTTTGGTAGACCAATCAAAATGGGGGGTGACATTATAGTTTTATTTTGAATGAGTTTTTCTTGTTCCACCTATTAAAAAGTAGATGTATCTCAGTTTAATGTAGCATTTTTTTAAGGAGTGTATCATTATTCTTTCTATATCATAATTTACCGTTTTCCCTTATTAAACTATATTGATAATATCTAAACATCTTATTTTAGGCTTTACGAGGGAAGAGTTGTTCAAGGTCCATTAAAGGGAGTCCGAGTGATTTTTAAGGTACAAATCTATGCCTATAACTCTAGCGATATTCATATAAAGCATTGAATTTTTACTTGAAACAGGGTATATTGGTTAAGTGCCCTGGCAATATCTTTTTTTTTTCTGTTCATTAAAAGAAAATGACTTTAATATGGTTGTTTTTGTTGTGCATTAGAGTATTGGTGTGAGAAGGCATCCACCTATGAGTTTTATTCTCCAAATAATTTGAAATTTTCGTGCAAATGCAACGGCATGTTGTACAAACCATGTTTTTTAGATGTGTCACATTCATTGAAGATTCGAATAGCCCCTCATCTTCTTTGTAATTGCAATTCTTTGTGTTTGTTTCATACCTTGTATGAATATAAATACAGTTCTTAAAAGCTGATTTATTGATGAAGGTAGGTGAAATTAAGTGCATGTAAGCATTGTAATATTGCAGCTGGGCAGTTATAGAAAATTATCCAACAAGATAAATAGACATTCTATGAATGCTGCGATTTTCACTAAAAAAAAAAAGAAGATAAAGAAAAAAAAAGAAAAAGAATAAAAGAGAACTTTTGAAGAAGTTATTTGTCTGTAAGATTGCTCTCGAAGCTTCACAGCTCTGCCTCATTTCCTGAAAAGACTTATGAAGGTTTATCCTGGACGACGTGCTGGTGGCATTGAAGCAGATATGATGGCTGCTAATGAGCTGAAATGTCATTCTTTCCTTCAAGTAAGGAAACCACTAAGTGAATATTTATATATTATTCCAATTTTTTTTTCTATGATTAGCCGATATGGCATGCCAAGTGTAGCTTTCATGAGCTAATTCAATTGGAATGCATCTTGCAGGAAGATTCAAAATTTATATGTGAAAACATCCAGATCTTATTAGGAGGTTTCGAGACTAGAACTGGAGAGCAGGTTTGATATATACTATTGAGAAGAAATCGGTTGACGGGGTCTCACTAAATAAGAATTTAAAAAACAAATGTTTCATTTGCCAGTGGCTTGCCTTTCGTAATGATGGGATATATAGTGCAGCAGACTATGCCAAAGTTACTAGCGAAGTAATTTCAAAGGATGTTGCTAATACTAAAGAGACTATCTGGTCTTCTTTCAACGGGGAAGGGAAATTTAAACGTAGAAGGTTTTTTGTTACCAAATTGCTTAACGGAGCTATCAATGGGTTGGCCTTCATGCATGATCATGACATGATAGGCTACACCAGAGCATCGGCCCTGCTTCTGTTGTGCTCAAGTAATACTGAAAGATGTGCCGCAAAGCTTCATTTTAATTACAATGCAGAGCAGATGATAGACTATTTTGCTATTTGCAGTACAATATCAGAAGGAGAGGCAACATATTTAGTGCCCCGTCTCCGTGATTTAGCCTTTTCAGTTAACATCAGGTTTGTTTATTTACTACATTCCATCCTCTGAAAATTCTTTTATGGGAGTTAGAGCTTCTTGATGCACACTCAAAATCAAAGCCTCGAATATTAGCTTGATGCAACTGTCTAAATCTATTACCTTAAATGGCCCATTAGAATGTAGAAGAATGATCCAATTGAATCCAATTCATCATTATTGTGTTGCAAATGTGGTGCCTTTACGCCGGATCATTAATGTTTATAGGAAATTCCTGTTTTTTTATTGTTTTTTGTGAAAAATGAATTATTGATTTGTGGGTGTGAATTTTTCAAAGCCATCTTTTTGATGAAATACATCATCGTGATAGTCAACGGTAGTCTTATTGCAACTATTGGGTTGGATTTATTGATGATATAAGTGCAAGTTGTTATAATTGCGAGAGACTAACTTTGCTACCCGTGATTATAGTGGTGGAGGACTAAATCATGTTTTTTTCCCATTTGTTCTCAGTACTTTATGAGTACAATCAATATGGATTTAATTAGATGATGGCCTACCCTGCACAAATTCATCAGATAATTATTTTATTTATTTTTTTCCGATTCTTTTTCTACTTTATCTATCTAGTCCACATAAGTTTGCAAGGAATGAATACTTGCTTGGCATGGTTGCTTTTTGTTAAGTAATGCTAACAATATCTTTCAATGTAACTCCATATTCTATTAAGGCAGATCACCGAATTCCATAAAGACTTTTTCTTTTTAAAAATTAACTACAAAAGCATAGTAGAATCAATCTCCATCTGTAGCAAGTACCAATTAGAAGATACTACAATGAACAAAGCCAACAAAACAACCCAGCATTCAGATTCAAGAGAATTAGAATAGCAAGGAAAGAAAAAAAAAAACTAAGCATTTCCCTAAGGAATTTCTAAAAATAGCCCCCACACGAGCCAAGTTGTATTTTCAACTTCCATCAGTGTTGATTTTTACCCAACCAGAAGGCTACAAAGGCTACAAAGATTTATAAAAAAATCTAAGTAACTACAACGCTACAAAGATCTAATTGACTACAAGGTTTTATGACTACGAGGCTACAAGGATCTAATTAGAAAATATAATATTATGCATAGATTCTCTAGGAGGTCTTAATATTACAAGGCTACAGAGAACACAAGGTCTTATGACTACGAAACTACAAGGTCTTATGACTACAAGGCTGCAAAGATCTAATTGACTACAAGGCTACAAAGATCTAATGAGAGTAGTATTTTAAAAAAATCTAATTAACTACAAGGCTACAAAGATTTATAATCAATTAAAATATTAAATAAGAAAATAGAATAAAAAATTTTAAATTAGATTCAAATGATGTTTTAATATAAATAATAAATTTTAAATCTTGCTCAAACCCTTAAAGTCTTATGACTACGTGATTAGGGTTGTCAAACGACTCTTTGTTCATGAACAACTCGTGTTCGGCTTGTTAAGCAAACGAGTCAAACACGAACACACTTTTTGAGCTCGAAATAAAAATGACGTTCGTGTTCGGTTCGTTTACACCCCTACTGCCAACTATTCTTCATTAGGCACAGGAGTTATGATCATTTGGTATTATTGCATCTTTGCTTGTATGACCATTTAGTTCAATATTTTCTGTTTTGCCTTGAAAAATAGACTTGCTAGTAGGATGGATTGCTTCATGATTATCACTTTTAAATACCATGGGCTATGCAAAATAAAAACCAAAATTTTCAATAAAATTTTTTATCCACATCATTCCATTAACAACGTCCATGATAGGCTTGTTTTTACTTATCATGTGATCTAGTTACAACAATTTATTTATTTATTCTCCATGAAGCAAGCTTTCCTCCCACAAGTAATACAATATTTCAAAATAAACTTTTGGTCTTCAGTAATATCCAACATAGTCAATGTTAGAGCAAGCTACAATTTTTAAATGATATTGTTTCTGACATTTTATTATGTTTTAAAATCCTTTAGAAAACATTCAATTCTTCATCTTTGGATATAACATATGCTTACTTACCATTCCGAGAAGAAAAGAAAAATTAGGTTGAGTGAAAATCAGTCAGATAAGCTTACCAGTCCAACAAAGTAATGGGCAATATATTTGATGTTTTCCCATAATTAGCTGCATGTAAAATATTCATAGGATAGTTAGGTCTTTTTTCTTAGTGTCGGTTAACTTTTTGATTTTATTTTTTGAAAATTGAAAATAATTTTGAAATTTAATTTAATATAAAATGTATGTAGTTTGAGTTTTGAAAGTAGTATGTTTTAATTTTCAAAAAAAGAGACCAAATGGTTCTCATTCGTCTAATAATTTGCATAATCGTGCCCGATACCGCGAATACTACACATTCCCGAAAGATAAGTGCATACCTCGGTGATGGTTCCAATATTTCAAACTAAGAGTTTTGTGACATCCGTTTGACCTGCGAACATTTTATGTGTGGCCAACAAGTTTTCATATTTAATATACGAATTAAATAGAGTTTATTTTATCCGAGTTCCAAGTTTCCTTTAGAGACAAATCTCTATAGTTAATTAAATCTCAAATGACGGGAGTCACTTGAAAAAACTCTCGATAATGATCATATGTACTAGTATTCAAGAATTCAAATTAAAGGTTTTCACGGTAGGACGTGGAAAAACAAGTGAGAGTGACTCAAATAAGAACAATTATTTTTTAGGAGTTCAAAGGAAGGAAAATGTATGGGGCGTCACAGATCCTGAGGATAACCCTTAGCGATTTCCCAAACTATCCTATTTTGTGGCTGAGTTTTGAAGATGATGCTATTCAAGTGTTCAATTCTGTCAATTTTATTATTTGAGACTTACATTTGCATAATATATGACTATACAAATAATCCGCAGAGATATGAGGGTTTACGTCGTACCACACGACAACCTTGGAACCTAAGGCGAGTTAGAACTTACGCTGCACAACATGATCGTGCATGGGCCTAAAAAGGGTGAATATTTACGTCGCGCTGAACGAGCTACCTCGAAGTCCTATGGGTTGTTATTTGGACTAAGGAGAGAGATTGCTGAAGAATATGCTCTTGTTGCTCGATCCAAACTCCTTGCCGTGCTGCCTACAAAGTTGACTCTAAGCTTCTCGTCGAGGTAGCAGGTCTAAAGTTTAAGGTTCAAAAGTTTTTACCAAGTGTGTTTCAAGGTTTTGGTTTTGTTGTCATTCAAGCATTATGAGGGAGATTAAAGTTGATTAGAGCGACACCGGTTAGGATCTCACGGTTCCCTCGTTCCGGTACCACTATTTTCTTTTGAATTTATTTAATTTAAACAAGTTGTTAAGCTCCTTTAAATTGAGGAGATCTCGTTAGCAATCGCGGGTTACTTCATCCGAGGGACTCCCGTAAATTCAACATGACGTGTTTTGTTTTAAAAATGTTGTTTAATTTTTGAAAAAAAAATTATTCTGTTTTGAAAATGTTGTTGAATTTTTGAAAAACTGTTTTGTTTTAAAAATGTTGAATTTTTGAAAAAATTGTGTTGTTTTGAAAATATTGTTGAATTTGGAAAATGATTTTTGAAGAGATTTCACCGGCGCGAAGTTTGTTGTTGTCCCTTTCGTCTGTTGCAGGAGTAGCTCCGTGATCATTTAATGGTTCGTCCACGTCCAAATTTACCTCGCAAAGTTACGCCGAGAAGTTGGTATGAGAATTCTATTGTGTGTAAATTTGGTTATCTGAATGCCTAGGCACGTAAGCAAGTGGGAGTTCAATTGTATGAAAGTTTAACTATCCAAACACATACGACTCCAATCTTTTCTAAGCAAATCTAAAAAAAGCTAGGCATGTAAACAAATAAATCTGAAATATATGCATATGAATACATAATAATTCATTTGTATAAAAGAAAACCTGAAAGCTTGGACATGTAAACACTCAAAATCTGCAATCTAGACATTTAAATACATAAGAATTCATCTGCATGTAAATCCCCCTCCTCTTGCTCAAAGAAAGAAGTTTAAATGATTATACCATTGTGAACTATAAGAAATCATATAGCAGTATTTGGTTGAGTCTGAGCTCTGAAACTTTAATGGCTCTCTTTATTTTGGCTTGCTGAAGCTGAGCTTTGGAACTTTAATGATTTTCTTTATTTTGGCTTGCTGAAACTATACTTTAAAACTTTGGAATTTAGAGGTGTTTTTGCTTTAATTTGCAGGTTCACTCATCAAGTAAGTGACAGGGATTAGAATTGCTCAATTTTAGGGTGATTTGCTAGTGACTTTTGATTGATATTGATATATAGACTTCGATGTTTTGGTTGTCTGTGGGATCGTGATAAATAAGAAGTCTAGTCTAAGCCCGTTCCTAATTTAAATTCTTATACCCTAGTTTGATTTTCCATATACTTATCACTTAACTTTTATAAAAAAATATGAATGCTCAAGTTTTTCATATATAAATTGCAAATGCTTATCTAACCCATTTTCTTTATATATTAATTTGTACTATGTAATTATAATTTGTTTTAAAGCAATTAGCAGAATCAGCCAGGTACGCGTCAGTCTTTTCTTTCTTTACTACACTTTATTGCCTTCGTCTTTTCTTTCTTTACTTTACTCCACATTCTTTTCTTTCTTTAGTGTACTTTATTGCAATCTTTTCTTTTTGTATTGTATTTTACTGTAGAATTCTTTTCTTTTTTTTCTGTACTTTATTGCACAATTACTTTTTTTCTTTACTTTACTTTACCATATAGCTTCCTTTTGTTTTCTGCTAGTGCACTGTACTATACATATCCAGTTCTACGCCTGCTTTTAATTATTGTTTTTTTGGCATATTTATACAGTATCTTAGGATAGCAAACGTAGAGCGTATGCTTAGGATTAAGCCCTATAACACATAACCAAAACACACTTTTTCATTTTAACACTTTTCAAAATTCTATAATAAAACATTTTCAAACTCCAATTAACTAATAATAAAATGATTTCTTAAATAATAACACTCATAGGACTTCGTGGTTGTTTGTCTGGTATGACGTAAATCCTCACACTATCTTTCCGG